CATTTGACATATAATGGCTAAACAACTAAAAACTATTTTACAAAGTGTTTAATAAACACAGTTTATCTCTTTTCAATGCCAACGATAACAGTTTTGGCGGCTATGAGTCGAGTGATTGTCTTGAACTCTAAGGGAACCGCTGTTTGTGGGGACCGGAAGAAGCGGAACCGTTGCACGATCTGCAGTAACCCTAACTTGGCCTCCATTAGCGCGAATCGCATACCAATGCAATTACGGGGTCCGGCGCCGAATGGCAGGTATGTGTATGGAGTGATTTTATGCCTATTTTGAGGCAAAAATCGATCAGGGTTAAACGTATCCGGATTCTCGTAGTACTCTTCCGAGTGGTGGATGGCGTATACGGGTATCTCCACGGGTTGGCCCGCGTATAGACGGACACCGGTATCGCCCAACTCATAGTTGTCGGACACGGCTTTGCGCTCCAGACGCAGCACAGGTGGGTATAGGCGTAATGTTTCGGAGAGCACGGCATCCAAATACGGCAATTTCGACAACTCTTCGTAACTGATCTCTCCGTTCGCGTCCACCGAAGCCATCACTTCCTGGTGGAGGCGCTCCTGAACTTCAGGATTGAGTGCCAACTCGTATGAACAGAATGTCAATGTCGTGGCTGTGGTCTCATAGCCGGCGACGAATATTATCCATCCCTGAGCCATGATCTCTGTTTCTGTCAACTGTTTGTTCAATATATTACCCGACAGTGTCTTCCTCTCAACGGCCAACTCTTCCTCTCCTATTATAATGACATTTAATTTAAATAGTTATTAAAAATTAATGGGCAAAACATTAGTAAATTTATTATAATGTTATTGAAACTAACCCTCATTTACGTGATGGGCTTCGTTGGCGTCATTCTCGTCGTGCAACTCATCCTTATCTCTCTCGGCGTCCACAAGAAGTTGTATAAAATCATTGTATTTTTTGCTGTGTTTCCCACCATTTTGTTCGGCCTTTCGCTGTCTTATAACGTGTTGAGTGGTTTGCAGGAAGAATTGATGGGCGCTTTCGGTTGCGCCCGACCTAATGCCCAGCGCTGTGAGCGCCCAAC